CTTTTCCCGCAAGTTCTCTCGTCCTCGTTCGGGGCTACCGGGGCCGCGCAGTCGAGGAACTCCTCGGCGAATACGTACAGGCGAAATTTCATTGCGGTCCCGGATACGATTGTCCCGATTCGGCTTGCGCGCCCGCTGTGTCTCGTCGTAAGTACGGCTCAACGATCGTTCTTTGTGCAATTAATCGACAGCGAGAGCGCATTCTTAAAGCGATAAAATTTCTTTTTTCTTCGGAGCCGTTACGCTCCAAGAATACTCTCGTTTCACTTCAGCTTTATCGCCGCGCTTCGTTCGCGATGGTCCTTTATAACACGTCTTGTAGTTGTGATTTGCGATTTTAATGGATCGGAAGATGTAATGGCACGGCGCGATTTGTTACTCGCGTCCTCCTTTTCCTCTTTCTTCTTTTTTTCTTTCTCTTTTTAATGGATTAAACGATCTATCCCGTTTCCGAAGCGTTCATGTGTCTAATTTCGTAGATTTCATTACAGAAATGACGTTGCGCTCGTATATGTGTACGTGCGTGTGTGTGTGTGCGCGCGTATGATATTACCTTTATTAATATCAACCGCCTGGAACCGCTGTAGTTATCATCGTGTCGATTTAATATTGTAATAGCGATTTCATACTCACGCATAGTTACGCACAAAATCGCATTTATATGCATCGATATCAAGCATTACCGCAAAATGCACGGCCGATTATACAATCACTAGCCGTGTATACATATCCCAGTGATATCCGGCTCTTGCGATTTCATTCGACGTTATCGCGAAATTTCCATTTCCAATGCGCGCAGTTAGAGTAATAAGTTCACGAAGCTGCTGTACATAATCCCGCGCGTTCTCGCGTGTTCCGCACGCGGATCAATATTTTCGGTCGCGAGCTCGATACGCTCGATATGACGAATTCGCAAAAAGACAAGAGGGCATTTCGACGAAGCTGGAAGCTAGCCGGAGTCTCGAAATGGAAGAAGACCAGGCAAAAAGGAACGTGGAAAACGGCTTTCAATATCCCGTAAAAGGAATCGCAAAAATTCGGATATTAGCTCGCTTCACGTCGATGGTAATCATATGTGCGGAGTCGTCTCGGGTCTATAAGGGTGGCGGGAGAGAGAGAGAGAGAAAGAGAGAGAGGATGGGAAGAGACGGAATCAGCGAGGGCAGCCGCGCAAGAGAGAGGGTTGAAAGTAGGACGGCGAGCGAGACGGCAACGAGGGGTGCAGACATCCCCGACTTGCCTTTGAGGTCCTGCCAGAGAGCATTCCGCGCGAAAATAAAACAAATAAATCGCGCGCCTCAGACGTTTACGTAATGGAAAACGAAATAGGATATTGATGCGACGACTTGTTTCTCACGCCGCGCCACGCCGACTACCACTTTCGTTGTTACGAATAACAGCACGGCTTCATCCCCCAAATATCGTCGCCGATACGATCCTCTCGATCCGCCGCGTGTGTGACACAAGCGCGCGCGTTAAGTTAGCGAGGTACAAAACGGTTGTTTCATGTGCGTACGCGTTTTGCCGAGCCGTCTTTCAGACGGGAAAAACCGAGGCGCTGCCTCCTGCAGCCTCGCTACAAGGAGAAATATCCAATCTACTCTTGTCGGTCAAAGGGAAAGTATCCGGAGCAAAAAGGCTGGTAGAATGACGTGAACGCGGCAACGTCGAAGCGGACGGACGAGGGCTGCAGAACGAAGGAGGATGGAGTCTCACTAAAAACGTCTCTTAGTCTTTGGCCTTCTTTGGCCGCGTCGCGTAATTCATTTTGTTACACGTAATTTATTACGTGCTCTAACGGTCGTTCATCGAAGCATGTCGGCGAATTAGTGTTGCTATTAGTCAGTTGCAAGTCGTAGCTGCGCGAATTGTTATTAGCGTTGGCTAGCGAGTGCTTCAGCAGCACTTTTGTTCTTCGCAAACATCGAGATATCTATTGCGTGTTTCAACGGATTGTTGTAATTTCGTAGTCACTTTGAAAGATGTTAAAATCGAGGGCTGCTGGCGCGAGTTTCCCAACGCACCCTCACCCGTCGTAATTCCATTCGCCCTGCAAAATGACGAGAACACGAATACATACGCAGCCTGAGTATCCTCGCGGCATTGACGCACATTAACGCACGTTCGCGCAAACGCGTTCAATAAAAAGACCTTAAGCACCCTCTCGAGCGTATCACGGCGCGCATTTTAGGTGGCAACTTCTTCCCGTTGTTTTAGCCGAAGCACCTGCGTGCACAGATCGTTACTAAATTGCACACCGCGCTCATGCAGGTTTAAAAGCTCACCCGTCCGCGTTGCAGCCTGGACTTGTTTCTTGATACCCGCAGATGCTTTTCGGTGGATTTACAGCCGACAGTACGTACGTACGCAAGTGCTCCGGTGCCACGGCTGGTAGGACTTTACCGGATGGGGGTTTACGGAGTAGAGTCAGAGAAGAGAGAGAGAGAGAGAGGGAATGAGAGATAGATAGACAGAGACAGAGAGGAAGAGAGTCCTCCTGGAGGCAGGAGGCAGCGATAAAACCAGCACCACGGAGGCGCGTCGGCCGGGATGTTTTTAAAACTTACTCCTCCATCCGCCGGCACACCCACACCATTAACAAGTACATACCGGGGATATCCTCTCTTTCTCCACAATTTCTCTCCTTCGCTCTTCTCCTCGGTTCCTTCCTTGCTCTCCCGTCGCCTTCTTTTTCCTCTCCGGCAAGCGGCCTGTAAAGTCTGCTGTGTACTACGTCTTTCGGTCTCATCCTGACAAGAATACACGTCACGCTCGAACAACTCACTCCGCACTCTCTTCCTATCTCTCCTACCGCCTCGCTTCCTTCTCGCCGTTCGCGCCACGTTTCTTCCTCTCGTTCGAGCAGCCAGACAGGGGCGGCTTCGCCACGCCTGGAATCTTTCGCCCGCGAGATTTCGGATCGCGGGGGCTGGCTGGTGCGGCCTAGTCCGTGAGCGGAACCCCCGAAGTCGTTCGCGCGGATTTAAATATCTAAAAACGACGGAGAGGAAGAGAGAGAGAGAGAGAGAGAGAGAGAGAGAGAGAGAGAGAGAGAGAGAAAGGAAGATCGCCCTTTCCGCCGCGCGTTTAGTAAGCCTTGTTTCCCTTTTCTTTTCTCCCGCGTCGGCCTCTCACGCTAGAGCGTCAATCTCCTATCAGACGGGTCCCGGCCTCCATCGTCTTACTGTTAAAAGCCGGGCTTCTTTTCTCTCCTACTCCCAATCTCGTCTCCACTTCCTACACTTTTTGCCGTCTGAAAGCCCGATAGACTTACGACCGCTGTGCGCTTATCTCTGAGTTGCGTGCGAGTAGATTCGTACGAGGGGGTGCTCTCTCGTATAAAATAGCTTGAATTTAGACTGCCGAATCTGTTTTCTTTCTCCCTCCGAACAGACACCCGTTATCTTCAGCTTAGTCAATATTTTGCATCGCTGCCGTATTAGCGGCTCAGTATCCCTTGAGATTGCATACGACGGTTTTCACGACAGCTTTTTCAGCAAACAACTCACTGCATGGAGGTATCGATCTAATGTGTGTATGTTAGTAAACAAAAGGTATTCGTTGAGTGCAAACGTGATGGAAGAGCGGCACGACAACACAAATGAAACGAGAAGACTATATTGAATTAAATGACGACGGAGATATCATTGCGATCAGTCGACCTCGCAAACATCGCGGGGTTTCTCATCTGGGACATTTAAAATGCACGTTTCACCGCCAAGTACCTCTTAACTAAAATTCGATCGGCTCGCGTATTTACCTGCGCGTCGCGCATCACTAACGCAGCGCGGTCCAACTTTCGCGAATCCCCTTAAGCTACGTACACACAGCTAATAGATCAGACCGCGCGATAATCGGATCCGGCGCGTCGGCGCGCCAATAACGCCATCTCTCCCCCAATCCGGGGGAGCTCTCATTTTTCGGCGGGCGTCTTTAATTAAGATCTTCCGTGGAAATTTCCCTGGCGTATTCGGCGCGCCGAGGGCTCGCCGAAAGCGCCCGCAATTCCTCGATAAACCGTACTGAAAGGAAACTCGTTAAAACCAATCTGCCAGGGATATATATCGACTCGATCATTTTGCACCGTTCGACTCGGCAGCGGGAGTTGAACGCGACGGCGGCAGGGAAAAAAGGGGAATAGCAACGAAGGGTGACCGGGATCAGGTAAGGGACTGCCGAAGGACGAGTAGGAAATGTTGAAGAGACAGCAACAAGAGACGATTGGAAGAAGGGAAGAAAAAAAGAAGAAGAAGCAAGAAATTTTCCAAGGAAGCACGCAAGTACGATGATCAGGGCGGCGGAATCTTATTCCTGATCACATTAACGCTGTTAATCGTCGAGGGGAAGGGGCTGGCGGCGATCTAATTAAAAACTTCCGGTAGCTCGTCCGGTCGATCCTCGAGGCGATTTGCAATTGGCGCGTTCATCGGCGTAGGCGAGCGGACGGGTTAAAATCGGGGACGCACGGCCGAGAGGGAAGTGTATCGGACAGATCCGTCTGTCTTACTCGAGGTCTCTGTCAGAACGGTAAAAACGGGAAAAGAAAGTACAGGATAGATGGAGAAGGACGTGCGATCAAGAACGAGAAGTTGAGTTTAGGAGACAGGGAGAGAAAGAGAAAGGCAAAGATAGAGAGAGAGAGAGAGAGAGAGAGAGAGTCAAGACGAAAGCGGGTTGGATGGAAGCAACTATCAGACGTAGAAAGTGAACGTGGCAGGTCGACCAGGACAGGAGGGTAGATAATTAGACAAGAAACACAGACTCGCTCCGGTCGCCCCCGCTTACCCGCCCGACACAACCTGTTTCATTCGACCTTCTCCCCTTTCAACCCCTTTCCCTTCTTCGTTGTGTCTTCCTGCGTTCGAGCCCGTATCTCCTTTAATTAAATATAAGCGTCGGCCTACCCCTGTTTCGCGCATCTAATGCCGCCCGCTTTCTTCCTTATGTATCCATTATCCTTCAGTATTCTCTCACAGTTTCTTATGTATGCACAAAATGTATTACAGTAATATGTCTATATTACATTAATTATGAGTTACAAAAGCGTATTATCTGCTAACGGATCTGCATGCTATGGCACCTATAACAAGTAGATTATTTTTTAAATCTTTGCTTAATAATTAAAATATTACTTATTGAAATCAAGACTGAAATAAAATGTAGATAGAATATTGAGATAATTGAATATGAAACAATTTCTATATATAAGTAATATTTCAAGCCTCAACGTGGACAATATGTAAATATTTGTAGCCTCATGATATAGTGATATGGTATTATATTCCGAAATTATTCATTAATCCTCCAAGTTCGATAGAGTTTGTAAAATTAACGTAGAATCAACATTCGGATTACGTAGTGCATTCACATGTATTTATAGAAAACTCCCGTACATAGATACATCTTATTGTGTATAACCTTAACTAAGATACATCTTATTAGCACTATTCAAACACATACATTTATTTTCAATTTATTGACATGATGAAAGATAAAAAATACACATATTACATAAAATTAGTTAAAGACGTCTCATAAGAATTCCGCGGTAGAAAGTCACGATCTTGTGTTTAAAACAGCTTGTTTTATATATAGAAATTGTTTCATATTCGATTATCTTAATATTCTATCTACATTTTATTTTTGTCATGTATTTTATTTCAGCCTTGATTTCAATAAGTAATATTTTAATTATGAAGCAAATATTCAAGAAATAATCTGGGTTAATAGTTTTTCCTTTTACTTATGAGTAAATAAAAGAATAAAGTTTCTTTATTCTTTCGTGATTTAAATTTAGATTCAGCACAACAACAGGACTAAACGGAAATGAAAAAAGTGTGTTGACATATTCAAGATGAAACTCACGACTGCAGAAATATTATTAGAGAAATAAATTTCATCGCTTGTGAAACTAAGATATACACAGTTGTAAATTATTAATAATCTTGATTGAAAGCGTAATTAATTATAAATTCGTATTCGTACACCGTTATTCATCTGTTTCGATCGATATCTCTTGTTGTATGAAATAAGTACATATTGTCTGAGATTAATGAATTAATTATATTTATTTATTAGTGATGAATGAATACCGTCTTAAAGTCGATTCCAAATTTCAACTGGAGTATTTCCATATGTTCTCATTGAGTTCACTAAACGTTCGTTAAAATCGAAAACATTCTATATATAAATAATTAGACATATCTGAAATTATACAGGACGTATTGTTGCTCTCAGAGTTTTGCCTTCTTTGTTCTGGCTTCCTCTTTCTCTCTCCCTCCTTCAGATCTACTACCCAGCTCCTGACTGCTTCGAATATTTTTACTCGAGATATTAACATTGCCACTCGCACGAGTACGATTCGATCAGAATTTAACGTGTGTTAAATAATACGATACCGAATACGCGCGATTATAAATATTTCAATAGCCGGCAGCGAAATATTTTAAAATAATCCGACGAGAATTGAAAACAACGTATCAATACGCACAATCCATGTCGCAAAATGTAGTTCGTCGACTCAAAACGTAGTGACAGTCATGGATTTGTAATGGGACCTTCTACAATAAATAATTAATCATAAGCCGCAAATAAATTGACAAATAAATCACAGTCGATTATTTTTGAAAATAATAAATTGAGTAAGTTATACATAATTAATATATTGCTTGTTAAAGTAAAGAATAAAGTTTTTAAGTGTAAATATAAAATACCGAGATGGATCGAATGTTAAATAATCGTGATAGTAATATTCTTTATTCTTCAACATATTGATTATTACTTTCGTAACTTTTTATCACTAATTACTGATTAAGAGCTATCAACGTGTGCTCAAGTAGTTATTTGTAACGTGTCAGTGCGATTTGGCGTTTCATGTTCTCCTCGAATTACCAGCGACTCGGTAGTAACAATTATCCTAAAAGGGTGGCGCAAAACTTCAAAATCTCGATTAGCGTTGCCACTTTCCAGGCTTTCCGAAGTGAATAATTGTTCGTTCTTGCGATTTGTCGTTATCGAACTTGATTCTATGGAATCCTTGCTACTACCTACCGACGCTCTACTTAACGACGTGTCATTAAGATCGATTTGTTTCGCGAAGTTCGTAACTAAGCCATTTCCTGAACCAGCTTTTGGAATAGCAACTGCCGAGGTGTCGTTCGAACTTTGCGATGAAATCGATAGATTTATTCTGGGAGTGTTTTGCCTCGTACTATCGACAGAGTACGGCTTGATACGTATTCTTCGTCGTTCTCTACCTCGGTCCGAATCTATCAGAGCTTGACTTGCTACCTTGCCTAGATTCGTATCTCGATACTCTGAATAATAACCATTAGAAGCGTGCTTAAAATCCTCATAGCCACGTCTTCTTTCTTGGTGTATCCCCATCCGATTGTCACCCGCCGCGTAATAAGACGATGACGACGCACCGTTGAGACGCTTCGTCGCCTCGAGATCAACACTCGTACGATCAACGTTGCGATTGTTCCTGAGAAATCCGGCGACTTCCGTATTATCCCCCGGGGGAGATATCCCATGCCCGTTGTCCGCCGGCGACTCGAGGAAATTCTCGATCGATCGTCTGTGCGTGTTCAAGGAGTCCAAGACCCTGCGGAATATCCGCTGGTAAGTTTGCCCATCGCGTTCAGGGATAGCTTTGTTCGAGTGTGCCGCTTGACCCGTCGTGAACTGCGTCGACGTTGGACGATGTGAGACGGAAGATACCACGGAGTGCGTGGCAGTCGACGAAGGATCCACCGGCACTACGTGAACCAAATGCTTACGATCTCGTTGATCGATTCCCAGGATCAATTTCGGCGCCAACTGATTTATCACATCGTCGTTCGCGATGATATCGGTGAAATCGTGGTCAGTCCGAGTGCTCGTCGCGGATTTTTCTGCAGGTCTCGGTCGAGGATGCCTCGGTCGCCGGGTACTCAGGAATCCGTTTTCAGATGACTCCTCTTGTGCGGTCTTCTCGGTGCTTGTGTTCTCTTGGACCTTGACGCGATCATTTTGCCACAGAATCTGGCTTTTCGCAGCGAAGTCCCGTTCCGTCAGCCGCGAGAGATTCTTCGAACGATGATGTTGCCGAGAAAAACTGTTTTCCAGACTGGCCGAGGAATCTGGGTCGTTGTCTTGGTGTGTTCTGATGACAGAGAGCACTACTCGTTCTCCCGGGGACGTCACGTAGACGTAGGAATTCGGCCAGAGATTGCTCGCGTGGAAGTACCCGTCTGCCTGCGGCATTATCGTTAGCTGAAGATCGTGCCGAGGCGGGTCAGACGCTGGCAGCTGCTTGACCCTCCGCAGGATCCACTTGAATGGGGGATTCCTTTGCGCGACGCACGGCTCACAGTCCACGCATCCGTCCTGGCACAACATCCAGTGGCCGTTGGGCAAGTGATAGACGTTGCCGCGCGACAGAACGACATTCACGTCGTCGTTCGAGTACACGGCGACCGGGCCGCCGTAGAAGGAAGCGTCCAGCGGACGCCTGTGGGGTACATCGGCATCCGCCGGCGACGGCGTGACCGACTTGAGGATAACCTCGCGAACTATGTACTCCCAGGGTGGCACGAGATGCCACGGAAGTGGCGGCACCGCGGGATTGTATCGCTGCTGTTGTTGCTGCATTTGTTGACTGAACAGCTGGCCGTAGCTCAGAGTGAACAGGAGCAACTGTAAAGAGACTTCAGTTACAAACATCGTGAATATTCCTGGCGAATATCGCGAATTTCGCGTATTTAATATCGTGTATTTACACCAACAGCGTACCAAAAGTACCAATGCTTGAACAATATCACTGCCTAACACTGAATATTCTTATTGTGTTAGTTCTAGATACAAATATTTAAACTTTCAATGTAGAGAGAGAGAAAGAGAGAGAGAGAGAGTAGAGTATATGTATATTTTCCATATATATATATGGAAAATATACATATATTCTACGTTGAAAGTTTAAACATTCGTATTTAAAAATTAAAACAATGTTCAGAGTTAGGTAATATTATTAGTATTTAAATATTGATACTTTTACCTTATAGTATAAGTTTTTAGGACTTGATGTTTCGGGATCGCGGCGGATAGAAAAATTATCGTTCGATGCATTTTGAATGCTGCGCTCACGTGTGCTATCTCGACCTAGTGCTAGTATCGAGACGATCGCGAAATAATAGTGGAACGCAACCTGAGCGAAATTCGCGTAACTATAGATAAACCAATATTTCCGTTGAATATTCTAAGCGAACTTGTAGACCGTGTTAGTTATGCAGAGCAGGCGAGAACTGTGAAATTAAGTTCATCGTGAACAGATTGACGATAAAGACGCAAATATTTGAGAAGTTATACGGTACGTTAATTTTGTCGAATATAAACGACACTTTAACGTCTTCCGCACTCACCATAGTTAGCGCGACGTACTTCCCCTTTAAAGTATACATCATTTCGTACTCGCGATCACAGTCACACTGTCGAGACGACCGGGAGAATCGTGAAAGAAGACAGAAAGAGGCTGTCCCTCACTTGCCTGACGAGTAAATCATACGAACGGCGTTACCCGGCTGTGCTATCGAATGTCGAGATGTCCGGCTAGATATCGGCCGTCAAGAATGCTGACATTACTCACGGCTAAACATTCACCCAGCGATCAAACAACGTAACTCAAACACCGCCGACGTCGGCTTTATCACGGGTAATTCGAGAACGCAGCTATACTGATGTAGCGTAATCACAGCTGAATCATTCATACGAGAAACTGCACTAGCTTCTTTAGATTTCGCCAGATCTTAAACTGTAAGAAAAAGAGAAACAAATTCAATTCATAAACAATTTTCAGCGGTTAATTATTTTTGCAACGCTATTAATTTTCACGTTCAAAAAATTATGTTCAATTTTCTATTTAAATTTGACTTCGTTGAATTTTATTTAAACAATTCAACTTGAACAAATTATTCATCAATCAAGTAACCGCGCGAAGGTGTCGCCTTCATTACCGAATATTGCAAAGGTATCGTTTTCATATTAGTAGCAAAAAAATATGATCTTATTTTTAGCAGAATTCTCTTATATATGGTTTCAAAAGGCTTCTTCTAAAACCAAAAAACGAAAAAATTCTAATATTTAAAAAAAGAATTATAATTATACTATTTCTTGTAATTCCATATTCTAAGCGAAAACTTTTACCAAAAGAGTATTCTTCTTCTAATGAAGAGGGATAATATTGTGTTCAAAATATTTTCTTTTTAGTTTTAGAAGGATCCACTTGAAGCTATATGCAGCTATAAGGTGTTTGACACAAAATATCTCGTGCACATGTAAATTATGTCAAACAAAAAAGTCCTTTATCATTTTGCAAATAACCACATAAATTTTTTAGTTACACCCTCTATATAACTTCGAGAGGACTCCTCCAAAACCAAAGGGAAAATATTTTAAGCACAATATTATTTTTCCTCATTAGAAAAGAAATACTCTTTTAATAAGAGTTTTCGCTTAAAATATGTTATTACAACGTGTATTATTTTACAACATATATTACTATTACACTGCATTACGTATGTTACATGTATGTGATGTCATTTCCGAACGGCATCGAACGGAAATCGAATCAAACTTTGTGACTGACCCAATACTTGAAGACTTCCTGTTAGAAATGTAGAAGGTTCTTTAAAACGAACGAAAGTTTCTTTAAAACGAGCAGATCGATTATAAAAGCATATCGATTCTGCTGAGCCGAAACTTCATCGAACTTTCTTTTGGGATAACACTCGTTTGTATTATCCCTGATTCGTGGCTCCGATAAACTGGTTAGGAAATACGATGATTTTAATTCCGTTCCCAACATCGCTACCAGAGGATTCATCATCGTCGCGGGATGGATATGCGAGCGATATAAATACACGATCGAGCTGACGTTGATCGTATCTGGCTAACGGAAACGCTCGAGAATATCATATCCGGGGACTCGATAAAATATATACGGCTCGATGTAATCTGCGATAGTATAGCTACCTTGATTCTATTTCACGATTCGGTCTACCGGCCACGTGCAGTCAGATAAACCGGGCTTGTTGGTGGAGAAACGACGCGCGATGAATTACTGTTTCATTAACACGCCGCATCGGTACTGTATGATTAACGATGGAGATGATTGAAAGACACGGATATGAACGGACGCGGATTATGGCGCTCGATTCTTCACGGCATATGGAATTATATATAAATTACGCTGCGAGAGAAATTTTTCTGACATTGGTAACGTCCCAGGTAGAATAGATAGTCAATCTAACGTCATTTGAACCAAAAAATGACGTAAATTTGATCAATATTTGGTCATAATGACGTCAGATTGGTATTATTTTCTACTATCTGTTCTACCTGGAGTTGTACTTCTCGTTATGACTGATAATGTGCGCAAATTTTATGAACTGTTTTATAAATTGCAACATATCCGTTTATGATAATTATAAACTATTTTTTTAATATTAATTTATTAAAGAACGTTACGCAAAGAAAACGAGGTGGTAATACTTTGACGATACTAGATCTACTATTTTACCTACGAATATAACGAAGAGAAAGAGTAGTAAAATATTAGAAGCTTTTTGGAAGAAGAAATAAAGGTATATATTATAATACAAGCATCCTCCAAAAGGGTACACCACTTACCAATTATATGTGTGGCGCCAACTGTGGATATATGGACGGAACTTCACCACCCTTAGCGTAGCGGGTAAGGGATGAATGTAGGTACGCAAGTCGCGATCGATCTTGAAAGCTGTCAACCTCATTGAATAACCAAACTTCACAAATGGGAAGTTACAGTTAATTATGATTCTCACTTGTAATTTTTAAGAAATCGATCGCGTGAAAAATGACCACGGAAGTTGTGCAAAAATCACCCTTTGTAGATAACGCGGATGTCGTCAGCCTGCAAGTTTCTCTCCCACAGCTGCTCAATCTTGCTCTGGGAACTCCAGAAGTGAAACAATAATGACGAAATGTAATCATCCGTACATGGGACAAAAAACTGATGAAATTATCGGTTCCAGGTTGGCGCAGTCAATTTCAATATCCTTCATAATTTTCTCCAAGTCTTGTTGCATCAGATAGATTTGCAGGCCACTAAAGTGGAATATCGCGGCGAGAGCGCGAAACGTATAAAAGTACGAAAATGACCGTAAACTGGATGTATAAACAATGCGCTATTTCGCATACGTTTACGCGAGCATTGTTACAGACGATGGTGGCGTCCTTAAAACCAGGACCTTCCCTTCGTCTTCAGGAGTACAGTATTACCGACGGTGCCGGTAAAGTATCCCAACGAACTCCAGAAACCGATGGGACGAACATCAATGTATTCGCGGAAGGTACAGGACTTACGACTTTAGAGCTTTGTATATTTTTATTAATTTATTACAAAAATAGATTAGCTATGCCACAGCAGGCGGATTTTTAATTCATTTTACACCCAATCATCCCAATCAGTTGAGGATGACTTGAAAGTAACAAAGGGTGTGAAGCAACAAGTAAGTCCTGGAATAGATCCCGAAGCTCAAACTGTTATATTCGTGGAACCCGTCGTAGACGGTTCTACTCCTACGGCATTGGCGTTTAAACAACTCGAGCAATCTGTATGTGGGACAGATAAGTACCACCTATCTTTTAGTAACGATAGAAGATGATGTAGTAAATTAATGCTGACAGGTGAAAGAGCTGCAGCATCAATATCAAGCTCTGAAAGATTTATCCACTACTCCGGAAATGATAGAGCGTCTAAAACGCAGAATGACTGATCCTGTCACTGATATGTGGCAGTTTATCAACATCAATAAAAGACTGGAGGCTAGCGAACAAGGTATCAATAAGGTACTGCTTATTAGTCCCGTAAGCTTCTCGCGAAATTCAATGTCGATGCAACAGTGGAGAGTAAAATGTTTAATGTAGAGCGGGAACACGTTAAGCTGTTTATTTTAGCTGACGACAATGCTACAAGATGTAATGAAAGATGGTGTCTACGTAGCCGCGATAGCGGATATTCCGTCGTTTAACAGTCGATTGGATGAACTCGAGAATAAAGTCGCCAAGGTGGAGCAAGAGTTGGATAATATTCGAACGATCGTCGATATTTTAATCGAAAGTAAGCCAACTGCTGATGGTGTAGACATCACACGAGAACCTGCAGCGGCAACAGAAATTGCGGAGACCGACGAAGCGATTGTACCATCTCGCGAAAAAGAAGAAATCACGGAGGAAGTCCGTCGCAACGTTGCTGCACTGGAAGCAGTTACGCTTCAAGTACAACGAGAACCGCGAGATTTTAATGAGGAAGTTGCGCGTACGTCTGTTAGATGTTAATTTAATATTCGGGTTCTTAAATATATCATTCTATTATTCAGATGTACACGTTCTTTAAGTAGAAATGGAGGCACCTATAACAACAACTGTTGTGACCTCGCTACAGCCTGCTAGTACAGAGCATCCTAATGCGGCAGAGAGGGTTGACATAGAAAGGTCAAAGATTGATAAGATAGGCAATGACATGATGTTACGTTTGGAAGCTATGGAGGCGACGCACAGCAAAGCTTTAAGCGACATTACTGGACGCTTGGATAAATTAGAGAAAGAAGTCGGTGATTTGCTAGAGAAAGTGGATAGCGTGCAAGTAACGGGCAGGATGGACGACATTAACGAGCTTGTTGCAAAAATACAAGAGATTCAAACGGACATGGAGAGATTTGCACAAACTGCGGATAAGCTGCTTGATGATAAGGAAAACCGTGAAACGTATCTTAACGTACGCGTTTCTAAAAGTAAAAGGAAAGAAATCAGTTGAATTACCACGAAATGTCACTCACTTTTTGCGTTAAGCGGCAAATTAATGTGCAAGGCCAATGTTCATAGTCGAATCTTATATTTAAGATTGTCTTAAGTTTATCTTTAAATACTCTACAGCTAATGTGTAAAATAATTCGTATCTGAAGATAAACTTAAGACGATCTTAAATATCTGATCTGATTATGGGTACGATTCGTTACATGCTGCAAACGCTTTGAAACATTTAAAAGACGTTATAATTGGTTTTTATAGGCGCTTTAAAACATTTGCAACGTTTACGATCACACCTCATGAATACCGTCCTAAAAGTTATGTTCAATTTTTTTCGAGCTATCATATTTATCGCGGTTATTTTCACGCTAACAGACACTGCTGGAACAAATAGAAATTCTAAAGACCATCAAAGCGGATAAGGAAGATCTAGAAGATGCTTTGGCCGACAAAGCGGATGCTCAAGTGGTGAGCAAAAAGGTATAAGATACTTTTCTAATTCTCACTTTCGATATGGATTACACAGAGGATATCAGATAGACCATATTATAGGTGTCACACGATCAATTTGACGCTGCCTGCGATGACCTTGCACGCGGCCTCATGGAGGCTGTGGACAAATTAAATAAGCAAGAATCGATTTGGCAACAAGCGCTGGACGAGCTGCAGAACGAGATCGCGAGCAAGGTTGACAAGATTGAGATAACGCCGTTGAAAGACTTGATGAACACTCGACTAAAGTCGCTACAAGAGAAACTGAAAAGCATAACCGAGATGAGACGCGAGAGCGAAGCAGCCGGCACGAAAAAGATGCTTAGGTAGGCGATTTCAAAATCGCTTACAGATAAGATTTGAGCCAGCTCGCGATATGGACTCTTTCTCTTCATGATTTATTCAGAGACGTTCAGTGCATATCGTGTGATAAGGACGTCGTGATGAAAACGGAGGAAGTCTGCGAATTCCGCTTCGAACCGTTACCCTCCACCAATAGTACGAGACCATACTTAACGTACAAATTAGATCAAATTAGAAAACAACAAAGAAAACCACCCCACAGCAAAAACATGATCCAATTTGAGGCTGCGATGCAAGAAACTAAAAGAATGAAATCGCTGAAGGAGGAGGCGCCCGCGACGACTCCTCGGTGATCAAATTCGTAAAATTTTATTCTCTTATAATGAAAAAAGTGGATAACATAAATTAATATAAACTTATTACGACTCAAAGAGAGTAGAACATTTCTTTAAGTCTTTCTCTCTGTTGAAACTGTCAATTGTTTCAAATAACTCACGAGATTTCTAATAATAATACAATACGTACAATAAGTAGCATTTTGAATTTAATAACTTTTACTAGAGATTATCTCTGTAATCGGTACTGCGGCGGTAGTCATACAGTCACAACTCCTCAGCAACGAGTTCTGCGAACAGCACATTTCTTGACTCAATGGGGACCCGAAGTGGTGCAATTATCCGAAGGTTTGATAAAAGGAAAAGACGATAAAATGTATCGGGGTCGCCTGGCGACGTGCAAACAGAACACCTGCGAGTCCATTTGTTGGGAAAATCAGATTAGCGATGAGACTCGACCTCAAGTGCCCGTCGAAATATATATTCTCGTTATTCTAAACGATTCGTTTATTCATTTTGTTGTTAAATTATACTACTTCATTATTTTAGCCTCCTCACGTTCAGGAACGTGCGCCATCCGCTTTGGCGGCACCTCGTAAATCTCTTCCGTCTCGACGAAACGACGTTACACCCAGTAAGTGAATAACGTAAGGGAAATTTCATCACACGTAAGGGAAATTTTCCTTAATGATTTGACTAAAAGCCTATATTTTTTCCTAACGTTTTATTATTCCCAGGAAAGCCGGATTCGAGGAAACCGTCGAAAGAACCGGAAATACCGAAAATACCATCGACACAACCGGTGTGTATTTTGTCAAAAAGAAATATTAACACAAAACTAGAACTTAATTATTGATTGTACCGAAAATGTGCGCTTCACGTAAATCTGCATTCCGAAAATACCTTAATCATATTCGATTTTACGTAGATTGAGGAAGTGCAACAAATAACATCGCCGAAAGAAACCAACGATTACTCAATAATCGCTTCAATTGGCCCTCAAGATGAAATCATCTATGAAATAAACGCGGCGGCGGAACAACACATTGAATAATGCGAAAATATATATAATCTAATCGACACTAATATTTTTAGACACTAATTATTAATATTTTCACTTCTTTTTTCCCTTTTGATGAAAACCGTGATATGTATTATACAATTTTGAAATTCTCTCTATTTGAATTTGTATTATTATTTTTTCTTATAATTTCTCTTTTCTTTTTATTTTTTATAAGTTTATTCTTTTATTCTAGTCTAATAATAAAATAAAATAAAATAAATAAAATAAAAAATAAAATAAAATAAATGCACTAAAGCTATAGAATGAAACAAGATATAATTCTGATGTGTGTGTGTCTTGCAAAATATTTTTTTTCTAAATAAGCCTGACATCATTCAGGAAATGCTTCAAACGTTACTTTATGAAATTAGTCAAGTGAAGTAAATAAATGGAGCACCCGATCAAAATGTGGAGTTATTAAATATTTTATTATTAAGAGAGATTTTCAGAGTACACAAGACTATCTAGTGAAGTCGATTTGGAACATTGGTGGTTCGCTTCCGTGAAACAAAAATATTGAATCGCACTTCACATATTACACATCTTACGAGACCGCGTCTCGCTATTGCACATCGCCGTCCAAGATCCGCTCACGTAAAGGGCGTGCACGACGCTCTCAAAGTAATTTCATTGGACTCTCCTCGCTTCGCTCTGCCCGATCTTATATCATACACAACCTACAAACGACTATGCGCTAGTGTTTCTTTCGTAATAATATATATTTATGTATATGTATACGCCAGATCTAAGTGCTACTTCATACAAATTTCAAGGTACAGGAAGTATCTACAAGTTAGTTAGTCTACCACATAACATTACGTACTGCTTTTCGATAAGTAGTAATATTAGTCTACGTATACGAAGTCTAATGTTATCATCGTACAGGGTTACAGCTCTATGATCTCGCGATCAAATCAACGGTATACAGAAACCACCGGTGAGATCATCACCCAATGACACACAATGCACAATAAATATAATATGTATATATGAAATAAATATATAGAGATCGTAGCTTCTTCAATGATTAATCCTTGAATGATCGGGCTCATGTACGGGGACAATATAATGTCTTAAACGTTAACATGGATATGCATTATCGATTACAGTTAATAATACTGGCAGCTTAAAGTACGACGTATAAACTATGCTCAACCTAATTGGACGCGAGAGTAGGGAGTGCCTCGCGCGCTCGTAAATTCAAGTTACTCCCGTGATCGGATCAGGAAAAAGAGGTCTGCGTTTTAATTAGGAAACTATGACGCACCGTATGCACTATTTGCGCTAATCGAGCCAGTTGAACGAGTCTATCGGCTGTTCTAAGTGATGTGCTGGCACTCGCTACCCGCCGTAGATTCACTCTCCTTCTCTACGTCTACTTAATATTAAGCAAAACCACTTTGGCGACAGCTCGCGCAGCGGCGCCAACGAAAATCCCGTTCACAACCACCGCGCGCGAATCGCACGGTATTCCTAACTCGAAAAATTATTGTAACACCACGGACGTCTTGTCATTGCGCCTAACCGACGCGTCGTTGCTGGCTACATAATATAATATAGCGAGATTAATTATTTTATTATCGTTATTATCGTTACGCGCGTGCGGGCGAGGGAGCGCCGGCGCGCGCGAACAGGGGGAATTAAGTAACAGATCACAGGTGAAACTAGGCTATCTCTGTAACAAATTAATATCACATGAAAAAATATGTATCGGTTGCATACTATCGCAAAAATCCCCCCCCCCCCTTCCCACGAGTCAGGGACGACTGTCGGACGGATGACTCGGATGACGAGCCACCGATTATTCGCATTGATTGACCTCAATCGTCTCTTTCCACTGGTCTGCGCGACTCCTCGCGAAAACACGCATTATCTCATCTTCTAACTCTGTATTTCTCATCGAAATCACGAGAAACCTTTGTCTCACTGCTGCTCGTCTCGTTCAGTACTCGTAACAATTCGACCGAGTCGAAGTTTTGCTTCCACACTAATCCTTCATGTTCTCCAACTTGAAATGTCAATAAGGAATCTCCAAATATAACATTATATACATCATTACTATACCTTGATGCTATAAATGTACTTACTGCCGTTTTCTTCACCTTTCAGACTTCAAGAATTATTTATTCGAGTATTATTTCATTATTTCAATATTCTATCTTTCAGTATTTTTATCTTTATTCTTAATTTTAATAAATAATGTTTTAATTACGTAACTTACTCAACTGCCAATTTTAGTATCAAGGGATAATATAGTCTGTATAGTGTTATACTTGGAGATTCTATACTGGCGCTTCCAGTTTGATGAAAAACCTGTAGAATTAATGTAAAACCAAAATTCTTACTCGTACACATCACTTACGCTCTCTTATTTCTTTAAATTTAATAATCGCTTATTAACGACGACGGATAACTAAACCCTGACTAAACGATTACGATTAGAAGTAAAGTTTGGCATTTTCTTCGCGCTCACCGTGCGCCACCATCCAGCTGTCTACAGCCCGTTCGCTCTACATTCCGCGGCTGAATATTAGGATTAGTTTTACTTTGGCTTCCGGAGCTCGCGCCATGTCGGGCTGTCGTTGCGCGACATTCCCTTCTAAACCTAAGTACATATTACCCCTGTTCTTACTTAAATTACCGATTCATAAAGCAGCGCTTCTGATCCCATCTAGAGTTCTCTTTCGTAGAAAATCCGCGCGTGTGACCGCGAATTTGAGGAACAACCGTTTTAATTAACAAGTTGACAAAGCAGGGAAACGCCCTCGAGAACATTCTCGCGTATACTTTTCAGAATCGTCGGTCCCGAATCTTATCTTTTGTGAATGTTACTGTCAGCAAACTGTATCAAGTGGTAGTTCGTATCCGCCTCAGTATCTCTTTCTCTCTTTCTCTCTCTCTCTCTTTCTTTATATCTTCCAAACTTCCGCTTCAAAAAAGAAAGGGCATTCCTAGTATCGCAATGTTCACTCTACACTTCGTGCCGCGGTGCATGTGTCTGCCTATGAGGTAGGTTTGCGCGATGTTTCGAGGAAGACGAAGCGCGTCCATCGATCTCCACGCTCCCGAGAGTCCGGATATACATTTCGCCGTTCCTGCCAACTCTAATCCTATTGCGCGACTAAAACTTGGACTCGGCCATAGGCATGTGAAGGTACAGCGTTGTCGAAAAAAACAACGACGGATGATGATGACGGTACTATGTCGTGGACACTGTGGAAGCTATCTAATTCTGAGCGACCTGAGATGATTCTTCATGCGTGCACGTTATAACTTTGGTTTTCTCTTGGCCTCTCGCAACCAATCTCTCACACCGAGTCGGACGTTGTCGCCTTTGATCGATCGTGTATCAGCTTCACTCCCATTCACCTTTTTATACTTTTGTACTGTATTCGTATCCCCTCAATCTCAATGCCATTATTGTCCATTATCTCTTACGCTTTTCGCGCGGAACGGTACGCTCGATCGGAATGCGAATTGATACGGAGGATCCCGCGAAAGTCGAACAAGTCAAAAGCACGTATCGCGTATCTCGGAAGACTCCCTCGTTCGGAGAATAATATTCCCTACGGGTGTGTGTGCGCACATCCCGTCTCGCCGAAGCTGTCAAGCTCGTTCGTTGCAACCGCGCTATTTTCGGCACTCGTCGGAAAAGTAAAAGTGGGTTATCAAAAGAGTTACAGCGCCTTAAACGGCGCTACGATAGATGCGCTACAAAAGCTGAGCTATGACCGGGTGTAGGAGACACATGTGCTCGGCACCGCGTATCGGAAGACGATTCACGCTGAAATGACGGACCATTTCCGGTATGCTCTCGAACGGTTTGCTGAATTGTCCCAGAATATAGGCGTTCAGCTCCTCGTTCTTCTGAATGCGCATATGCATAAAGCCGCGAGCGCTCCTGCAACAATTACAAAGGGTTAATTACGCGAGTGATCGCTTTCGAAGGGAGTACATGCGCCGAAAAGAAGAATTTGATTGGATCAACTGATTTCTGATTAGCGTTCGAATGTCCGAACTTTACTGAATTTCTGAATCGTTTAGATTTTAATTAGATTAGGAAGTTTCAGGAAATAGTTAATCCAAGCAAACTTTTTTCCATGTGTAATGTTCAATGATCGCGTCGCGACTTGGATGATTAAGCAACTGCGGTTCATTGAACGACGTAATATTTATATACGTTACTCACTTCAAAGACAGAGAATAGTCTTGTTTGGTCGATTCACTGTTCCTCACCAGATAACTTCCCTCTCGTAGAAGTCGTAGGACAGCCTCTGCCTCGATTCGCGTGATAGAGCCGTGATACCACCTGAAATGAGGGAAGGATCTTCGTTTGAATTTCGTGTATGGAAATGCGGCCGCGAAGAACGGTGGAAATACCTCGCGAACAGTGCCACCCGAAAATTCAAAGATGAACGAGTGCGCGAACAAGAGTAAGAGCGTGTAACCTTGAGACTGCTAACGAGCTCATTAGCGTAGCGGCTCTCGAGCCAAGCCAAAGCCACCGCTCGCCAAGACGGCGCGTAAAAATGTTTACAGTTCCGTACACGACCAAAGGTTGCGTCGGCACTCACCCTTGCCTCTCTAATGGAAGCTCCACATCGACCAGATCGGCCGATCCTCGAACTGTACCGATTTCCAAGGGCAAGCCGAGGTTCAGGCCGCCGGGTTTCTTCGGTGCCAACTGACTACTCGCGTTTCCCTCCGTGCCAGGCGCGTTTCCACTGGCGTCGAGATTCAGAGTCATCTTCGGGCGCGCCAGACCGCCGCCTGAAATGAGTCACCCGGCAGTTAGACGTACTCCGCGAAGCTTCCAACAGTAAACAACGATGATATACCGTATAGTGTATCGTATAGAGCTGGCTGCAATCTCTCGCGACGGACTTTACGACCCCTTCATAATTGCTACGAATCAGAACTCCGATATGTCGGGACACGCTCGCATAACGGGGTAGATTAAGCTGTCCACGGAAAATTATTATGGGAGCGTTGACGTGTGCTCGTCACTATCGCTTATCTACCCTTGCCTGAGATACCACGATCGAGATTGGATTGAAATACAACGCAACGTTGATATTCAGCTAATAATTATTATTAGGGGAAAGGGCACACGGTATAACAAGAACTCCTAGTATTAGCAAGATAATACCACGATAAATCATTGTTAAATTAAAATAAATTTCAGGAGAAACAACACTATATATTAATGTGAGTAATAGCATTTGTCTTCTGAAGGACTATCGGACCTTCTAAAGCCTGTCTTACAAAGTGAATGTTTACACGTGCCACCCTAAAGTGACAAGCCACTCCAGCAAGAAGCTTTGCTCCCATCCAATTTTTCACAGAGGCATCTTTCAACTATGATAATATCAGTCAGTCAGTCAGTCAGTCAACCAATCAGTCAGAGGGTTCCCCGTGAACGATAATGACCATAGAAAGACGCGTGAAGGAAGCACCCTTGTATACCCTACGGTGGGGCGTTAATTTCATTTATTGGCGCAATCTCTTAGCGGTTGACTTTTCGGACGCGGTACATGACGCAGGTACTACAAGATTGCTCTGACAGGTGTAACGTCGAGTTAGCCTCTTCCGCGGCTTAACGTGCCCAGAGGGCATGCCGGAATGCCCCGTCTGACACGTATGCAGATACATAGGGTGTCTCGGGACTATCAGATAAATTGAGGGCGAAGAATCGATATTTGCGGGGCTTACTCAGTGTCGACCAGATTGCAAGACCGGCCGAATTTCAGGAAAAAAATTCCATTCTTCATTTCATGTACGGGAAAAAGAATGCTGTTGGCTCAATAGAATTGGTCAGCAGTGCCGAATAGATTTTCTTGCAATGCTAATGTTATTGAAATTAATATAATCCCAGCAAACACAACGTTACATGTAACACACATGTTAGTTATAATTTCCTACTCAACAATGTAACTGTTATATAACATACGTATTATATAACAGTTATATTGTTGAGTAGGAAATTACAACTAACATGTATGTAACGTTGTGTTTGCTGGGATCATTGTTTCAACATTTAAACGACAAGGTAAAATTATGGGTTATACTCTCTAAAGTACAATCAGTGTATTTTTCATTGAAACGTGCTATACTTATAATTGGTGGTTCAATTAAAAGTATAGCACCGCAATCAATAAAAATCTGAAAGAATAGTAGCGACTGTTCCTATTATTGATGCGGAGACAGATAGTGTCATTGCCAAATCGCATGGAAGCCGGTAATGCTGTCGCAAAATGCAGAAAGTTGGATCTAACATATAACGCATTTGTACTGTATAGATTTTGCAATGAAATCTTACATTCACTGGTTAAGATCAGTGAAATATAAGATGAAGCTATTGAATTAAGAAAATTTATTTCAACTACGGCACTGTCAACCAATTCTGTACCAACACTGCACCAATTCAACAGCATTTTTTCTGTATACCAAATATACTTCATATTTATATGTAAAAGTATAATTTTTAATTGCTGTGGTTTTTCATGAAAGTATAACATAGAATTTAAGGTTATGTAAGAAAAATATCGTAATTTACAATAAATGTGGACTGAGAAAAAGACGCTTTGCCAAATGTGTCGTAGAATTCATGGCGGACGGTGAATTCTCGAGCATTCCGTATACACGCATCAAATTACTGTGAAAGGAGGATCCGAAAGATCGCGGCTATCTTCCACGCGCCATTTCTATTCAATTCCTCTTTGCGAGATGCACGTTTCGGGAATGGTTAAACATTAACAGCGGCGGACGGCTAGCGCGTTACTCGACGAGATTGGGTGCGTCTGTATTATTAAATTCAATCTGGCGATCGGCCGAGCAGATTTATCCGGCCGACTCTCCCCCACTTCACTCCGCCGACTACAACGCCGTAAACGCTTTTTCTCTGCTTTGTCTTTGCCGGAATTTTTCTCCCGTGGAACCAGCCCCGTCCTTTGTACATCATCCACCCTCACGGTAATCTCTCGTCTTGACACTCGTATCCTTATTCTCTCCCTCTCCCTCCTCAGACTGTTTTAATATCCGTCCCTAGCGGAGATACGTCTCAATCAATTTCTTCGTGGGCTTTCCGACTACCGCGTGCTCCCGCGGGAAATGGGGAGCACATCAGGATGCTTCAGCGGTGGATCGTACGCAGGTACATCGAGGACACGAGTAAACCCCGCCGTCGTGATGATCACGATGGTGTGCGAATCCAAAGCAACGCTTGTTTGCTCTAAAACCGTCTCCGTTGTGCGAGCCTCCGCAAACGATGTTTCGCAGTGCCGTGCAGTGAAAAAGGGGCAGCGATTGCGCAGGATGAGAAGTCGAAGAAGAGGGAGGTAGCCGGTGGCTGCCGAGAAGGCGACAAATATTCCTCCGATGCGAGACACGTGACGTGTCGCCGCAAAAGTCCCCGGGGAAATTCTTGGTCAGGAATAAAGCCGCGTGGACGGCGGAGACGCACGGGAAATCTCGCGGGCATCCGTCGGGTTCGCGAGAGTTCGCCCGCGCATCGAGAAGACAGGGATACGGAACTTTTAATTCCCCGCGAAAATCAGGACATATTGGCGACGCGTTTCGTCGGACGTCTCGGTGGCTGGGATAGCTCCGAGCGGCAAGTCGAGCAACCCCGCACCAACGATTCGTATTTATTGCCGAGCGAAGGAGATCGAGGGTGGAACCCGCCGCAGAGATTTACGACGCCAGCGAATTTACGGCCCCGGGGAGCCGGCATGTCAAATGCGCCTGGGAAGGAGTCAATGGCGATTCCATTGAGTGCCAAGGCGCTATTAAATGGAAGATGGCACCTTGCAGCGGACATAGTCACATAGCCGCCACTGCGAACAACATAGTTTTATGAGGATACGGCTTCGCGAACGCGCGGTTGGAGGTGTATCGAGGCGAAATCGTTACTTCGCCAATATAAAAAATTTTAAGAAGACCCAAAGCGAATGTACATAATTATGTAGACTGGGTCTTAGAGAGTTCAAATGACTGCGTATTCTCATCGCCTGTCGTCATTTGTGTGTTACAAACGCAAGAATACCGGCCATAGAAAGTTTGGGCTCACAAGGAACGCCAGTCACGATGATTCCGCGATCTAGAGAGCTTTGCGAGCGCGTCTCGACCGTCTCAGCTTGCTTGCATCGCGTTGTTACGTGGCGACTTCGTTCATCCCTCGAGGAAACATCGTGATGGTGCCGAAATGCCCAAACAACAGATGCGAAACGCCGGGATAGGCCGGAGATCTCCGCCAACAGATGTTGCAGTTACACGCCCTTGAGCGCCTCTATCCCTCCGTCGACGAGTCCTTATCGACGCGGCAGCAAACACTTCGGACCTGCTCGGAATGTTTGATACGTGCTCGATCCTCATGAAATATGAAGTACGATAGGCGCACGTCGAACGTTCCCGTCGAACGATTCGGATAGTTCTCGTGCAATTTGTCCGGGGATAACCAATACTTTGGGTTCGTACCGGTCGTGATAACATTCGTTATTTACGGAATAACTCTTATATCCACTTGAGACTTTCATCTATATTCCACATACACACACATACACGCATACAATCCGGTATTTTATGTATCCATTAAACTATAAAATTAGTCGAAAATTACGCAAATGTAACATTTGCATTTTAGGTGCAAAAGTAACGTTGCAGAACTGAAACAATCTCAAGATGTAGTGAAATATAAAAAAATTTGGGTTGAATTTAACATATTTTACATGTTCCAATTAGAGTTTGACACAAAAGTTTCTACTAGGATCGATTTCGTCATAAACACAAAATATTCTCTATCGTGTAACTGAAAATACAGTAAAACGATTACACGGAAGTAACGAAATATATTTTGAAGAAATATATCCTACTAACAATTATTATTATTATTATAATTATTTTATATTATCGGAATAAACGTGCTGTGTAATCGAAAACTTCATCCGTGAAAAGCGTAATTGCGTGCACAGCGTAACGAAACATCAGCTTTCCAAGGCAACAGGACCGGAAATTATTGAGGATCTCGATGGAAGTCTGGCGGATAATGATGTTACACGCTTAGTTGTTGACTGGTCTTCCGTGGCTTTTGATATCTGATCTTTGCTCTGCGTTTGTCAGCAATTGAGAAGACCCTAAAGGTCAGGCGTTGATTTTCTCTTAAAGAGAAGCTAATAGAATAATCGTTGCAAGAGCACGGCAGAAAGTTGTGTATACCACCCGACGTCGAAGCATAACCGCGAGTGAGCGAAGCTAACAAGCTCGCCGAAACAGTTAAGCTATGTGGGTGTAATGTTGGTGGTCCAATTATTCGAGACGCGAGCAGAACTTGCATAAAAGAGTGCAAGCGTGGGAGTACGAGAAATTGCAACGGAAACTCGCGCGCGAGTAATTTAACCCAGTTATCGCGATCTTTGCGTGTCTCGTCGAGCGTAACAATTAAATTGCGGCAATGCTACTCGTTAAAACTTAATTAGTAGAAAATCCCACGAATGACCAGACAAATGGCGGCTCGCGTCGCAACCTCTTGGATCGGCACCAAATGGGAAGCAGCAGACAGTCTCGATGCGCGTCGCAATAGTGACATGAAGCAAACGGTACGTGGCTGGGATTTTCAACCGGCAAAAAATAAAATTACGTTTAACTGTAACTCCGGTCGAGTCATCACGTAAAGTTTAATGTATACGCCTCGAATGTCGTCCGTATTCACGCAAAATCCACTCTTGCTCGCTCGAGGATTTCGAAGCGGAGCACATCGTAGCACATGCAATTTG